GCTCTGTGCATGGGAGTGCATCCTCCCCTTGGAAATTGTATCTCTGGCACGAGAGCCCTCCCCTATTTAAACTATGCCACTGCGGTTTTCGTGTTCACCATCGAGGGCCAAACAAGTCCCGTAGCTTTCTAAGAAAACACGTTTCTGTGCTCGAAACACTAAGCGGAGCAGGAGGGCTCCAACACATCGCAAAGACCTTGTTGGTTTGGTGTCCCCGTCCCTTCTCAAGCAGCACCTGCCCTCGAGGCGAGATGTTTCACAAGTGCCTACCCCAAACGTTATGGTCTGTCCCTGGCCAAAGTGGGGAAGCACAAACTGGAAAAAAAAACAATTTTCATCATGCCTAAAAGGTGTTTGTCCCCATGGTCCGAGGGGACAGCAGGGTAGGCACTGCGTGGGGACAAGGTCAGGCGAGGTGTCACAGCTTTTTAGGGGTAATGACTGAACATTGATTTCCTCCTTTCTCCCCACCCCCAGTTCCTCCTCCACCAGGATTTATTTTGTTGTTATTTTCTCTGGTCAGGCCCTGTGGAGCTACCTGGGCAGCAGGGTGGCACGGGGTCAGGATCCGGCCTTCTTGGTGCCTTCGGCTGTACGATAGAGGCAAATCCTGTCTCGATCCCTGACTGGGAGCAAAATCTCAACATCCTAGCATCTTATTACACTGTCAAAGACCCTCTTTCGACTCAAAAGCTTGGTGCTTTTTAAAAAGTGAGAGCGATTAAAAATAAAAAAAAAAAAAAAAAGAAACCCTCCACGTTAAAAGATACAATTTTCTTTTCCAAATAGCACCACCCTCCAGCTCGTCTGGCTGCAGCCGGGAAGGTTTTTCCTCTCTCTTCCTCTGAAGGAGACAGTGAAAAGGCAGTGCCCTCTTGAAGTTCAGACGTTAATTACCGTGTTAGAATATTTTTCTAAATTACACAGTATGGCCCCAGGAGATAACAGGCACTGAGAGAAGGGAGGGGAGTGGATACCAGTCTGCATGCTGCACCGCAGACTCAGACGTGGGGGAAAGGCAATTAGACAGGGAGTATTTATCCTCCCTGCACCACCACCCCGAGGCTTTCAGTTAGCAGCGCGTACCAAGGCAGGGAAGCGATGGGACCGTGCCAGGATTTCAAACCATGCTGAAACGGGGCCGCCTCTGCCAGCCGGGCTGCAGGCAGGAGATGCTCCTGCAGAGGAGAAACTGTCCTGCCTGCCTCCAGCCTCTGCTCCCTGCTGATTCACCGTGCCCGGACCCTCCTCTGGCCCTCAGGGTGGGCAATAGGAACTCTCAGGGGGCAGCTGGGTGCCCACGGGCCCCCCATCAGCAGGGATGCTCGTGGTGACACAAGCCATGGTGCCCGCCCAGCTGTAAGTGCCCTGGGATGGGGGGATCTCCATGGGCTGGTCCTGCAGCCGCAGCCTCCTGCACTCGTTAGTTCTGTGATTTAATGAGCCCGTGATGAGCTGCTTCCTGGGATCTGCTCTGGACCTGCCCCGGCAGCCCCATCTGATGCACCCAAGGGTGCCGGGAGTGGGATGGTGCCGGAGCAGGGCTGCTCCCTGTCACCCCTGCAAGTCCGCGACCGGGAAGATGCAACAGGAGAAAGGCAGATCTTCACCTGTGGGAATTACGGGCTCACCAGACCCACCTCAAGCCCTGGAAAAACCATGGAGCAAGTCATCTTCAAGCGTATTTCTGGGCACGTGAGGCAGAAGAAGGAGACTGGCATGGATGTGCGTCATCACCTTGCTCACCTTCTGGATTTATGGACAGGGGAAGAGCACGGATGTCTGTTGCCTTGATTTTAGCGAGGGCTTTGGCTCTGCCTCCCACAGATTCCCATATCCGAGCTAGGACATCAAGGCTGGACAGCCAGGTAAGTTAAAGACTGGCTGAGTGTTTGGGCTTGGAGGGCTGCAGTCACTGGGTTACATCCCAACTCCACCTGGAGGCCAGTGACGAGGAGTGCCACGGGGTTTATCCTGGCACCTGCCCCGTTGTCATCCTTATCGGTGACGGAGGAGGCGAGCAGCACTCCTGCCACGTCTGCAGGTGACCCCATTTGGCAAGGTGCCTCCAGGAAGCCCGGCACCATCGCTGCCTGGCACCTCTCATAATCCTGCAAGGCAGTTCTTCCACCTTCTCGCTCCAACTGCTCGGGGTTAGCTGGGTGTAAAGCCAGCCCTGTCTGCCGGATGGCGTGGTAAAAATCAACAAAATGCATCCAAAGCGGCACTCGGCACCGAGCACCTTGGCTGGGAGCTGCTCCTGCTGGCAGAGCACACGCTGGTGGGCAGCAGGGTGAAGGACCAGATCCAGCCAACAGCAGGTGACAAATGGCATCCCTTACTATCTCAGCTCAAAGCTAACAGGGACGAGTTTGGCGTGGTTTTGGGAATTAAACCGAGGCCGGAGCGGGGAGACCACAGTGGGACATCCCTCTTGGTGAGGCCACCAAGTGTGGGAGTCAGGACAATTTCCTAAAAATGCTAAAAATGTTTTCACTGAGGCAGACAATGTGGTCCTGGAGGATGTCAGCACTGCTCCTGCGTTAGGAGATCCGGGCAGCACAGCCTGGCCCCGGGGAGAGCCCTTCCCCGGGAACAGCTCCCTCCTCCAGCTCGCTCCTGGCTCCCCTGGGCGCAGAGGGATGGACGGGAGGAAAGCTCTTTCTCTTATTTATGTTTAACCTCGACACCTTATTATTCTTTGCATGAGCTCCCCAGACTTGATGGCTGCAATATCCTCTGGTTCTCACCCCAAAAAGGGCTCTCCTTTCCGCACTCCCCAGCCTTTGGGCTGGGCTCGAGCGACCCGTGCCCCTTCTCCAGCTTTAACCCCACATGCTGTCAATCCAAAGCACCACACGAGCTCACCGGGCTCTCTCAAACCACTTCAAACCATTTTAAAATTTTGCATCCTCTTCTTACTTTTCCTGCCAAGCCATCTTTGCCTCAAATCCCAATTTTGCCCCCGCTGTGATTACACCTTCCTCTCTGCCCCCACTCCTCTTGCCCCCAAACCTCCCAGTGGTGAAACTGAAACACTTTTGGTTCCTGGGGGTTCAGCTCATGGGATGCCCTGTCCCCACCTCGGACACGGTGTTAATAAGCTTTAACTTGAGGGGGAAAGGAAAGGAGATGGTGAGAGGAAGGTTTGCAGGGGGAAGGGAAGAGGCATTCCTGCCGCAGTCATCAGGCAACTTTCCCCTTCCTCTTGCTCACTCCCTTGCTGACCTTTGGCTCAAACTGCCAAAGCTATAAAGGAAAAGGGAAAAAAAAAAGAGAGAAACTAAAAAGCAAGAAGAGCTGAAAGGACAGGCAGAAGCAGAGATGTTATCTCGCCCCTGATAATGATTTATCGTCAGAGGATGGGTGGATGGAGGCAGGGAGCGCTAAGTGCAGCCGCTGCAGCACAGAGGGAGCCACCGAGGAGGAAGGAATCGGGGCGAGGGGCTGAGATTGGACATGGGCACGTGTGTGCTGATGAGCAGGAAGGGGAAAAAGCCAGCAAGAGTGCTGCACAGGAGAGCATCAACCCACAGTGAGGAGCCTGTCCCTGCTGCAGGACCTCACGGGCTGGGCTCAGGACAAGCAGGGTTGTGCTGGCAGCCACCTCAGAGCACCTCTGGGTCCCGTACTGGGCTGGCCTCTTGTGATATAATTAGCTGAAATGGCAAAAAAAAGAGCAGTGTTGGCACAAAAAGCCAGCCCTGAGCCATTGAACAGGAATGGAGAGAGTCAGGGTCCCAAGTTTATGCACTGCCCCTTGGTATCATCAATAAAAGCTTTTCATGGAGCTGTTCTGCAGCAGGAAATATCCCCAATATGTGAAATTTGTGTCCTTCAGTGTGTCTTTGGATCACCTCCGTGTCCCCACGTAGTGGCCAGACAACGGGAAGGCCCATGACAGCATGGCGAGGGCAGACAGGAATTGGGGAAAATCCTGGCAGAATCAGGGCTGGGCCATGACATGGCTGTGATGGGAAGCGGGGAGGAACGAGGGCTCTGCCAGACGCCAGGATCTTCCCAATGAGCTGACACACACTGCTGTGGGCAGAGATTTTGGGGAAGTTCCACTATTCTTAGCACCCCTCTCCCACCTCGCCTGGCCGCGATGCCCGGGCGCTTTCTCACTGCTGCAGTCACTGTCTGTGAGCTCTGCCCACAGCATCGCTGCGAAGGCAAGATGTTTACAGTGTGTTTGCATTCAGAGAAAACTTTCCGTGCATGCAGAAAGTCATTACTGGCAATTTTTTCCCCTCTCCTTTCCTTGCCCAAGGTCCAGCGGGGAACTTATTTTGCAGCGAGTTATTTATGGCCCGACAGAAGTGCTACTGACAGTTTGAGACTCACAGCTCCAACCCTGGGTGATGAGACAGACTTCTGCCTAAGAAAATCCTCTGCAGGCAGCAGCAGGAGAGAAAAACACCTTGAAAACAGCATGGAGAAAGTCCTCTCCTGCTCTTCTGAATGCCAGCATTTGGGTTTCCTTTCCCGTTTGTCCCCAGTGAGGTTTTTGCTCCCAACCTGGACCACACTCACCTTATCCATCCCTGAAATGTCCTCAGCCCCGATGGCAGGCTGGGTTTATGCTGCATTATGTGGTCCCCTATGCTTTTATTCCCTCTTCCTTTCCTCCCCTCAGTCTGTCTCATCTATTCAGTTGGCTTCACCTGCTTTTAAGAAGCTTTCTTAGCTCCTTTGGTGGGGATTTGCTGTGGTGGGATTGGCCAAACTCAACACTGGGTTTGCAATCCCAACTCTTGGGCTTTGCAAACCCCTTGACAAAGGGATCCTGCATGTGCTGGAGCGCGTGCTTTTCTTTAGCAGAACCACACCGGGCAGGAAGAGCCAAGTGTCCCTGCAGGCACCAGCACTTTTGGGGCGAGAAGTGTTCGTGTGGCTAAAGCAAACATCTGGGATTCACACATATCTACAGGTCATGGGCACTACAGCTCAATGGCTTGTCCCGAAGGGGGAGAAGGAGAAAACCCCGAAGGCATTACCTCCCTGAGGCAGGTATAAATGGGGCAGACGAGGACTCGGAAGGGCTCTCCGGTGCTGCTCCTCATGGTGCCGAAGACCTCGCAGAGGAAGGTGATGAACCCCAGCCAGCGCTCCACGTCCCGCTGCTGCAGCTCCTCCCGCATGGTGAAATCCTTCTGCAAGAGGGACAGAGACAACGGGCTGCATCAGCACAACCGCGCCGCCGGGGGAGAGGCCACGGCCGTCTGGAGGCAGAATTAGGAGGAAATTGAAACTCAGGGTTGGGGGGAGGAAGACAGACAGACTGACTCTGTAGTAAGAGCCGGGGGATTGCTCAACGCCCGCGGAGTGGCTGGAATTTCAACACGGCCACGCCACCAGGAGCAGGTACCGTAAAAACCACGCCAGCCTCTGCAGTGACTGCCACCTTGAACGGGCCTGGGGACTCTTTGCCCTGTGCACAACCAAAATGGGATGAAAATGACCACAAGTGGCTCACACGCAGTGCCTGGGGGATGTGATGGATGCCGGTGGCTTGGTGGTCCATCATCTCCAGCAGGGGTAGCTCCGAGCTGGTGTTGGGCTGGGGGCTTCCCAATGCTCTGCCTGCTCCCTGGGGTCTCACAGCCATGCCTGTCCACCCAGCAGGAGATTAGGGGAGCACAGAGCTGATAGTAAAAGGTCACCCTGCTCCCGAGCTGATGGTTGCCATGACCAAGGATTAGGAGGATGACGTGATTTATGGAGCAACACCGGCAGCGAACGAGCAGGGAGGCAGCTGCCTCCCCCACCAGTCCTCCAGCCAGGGAGGGGAAAAAGGGTTTGCCCAAAAGCAGGACGTGAAGAGGGGTATGTGTGTGTTGGGAGCCTGTGGAAACGAGTGAGGAGGAACAGAGAAAAGCAAATAAAAAGCTTTCCAGAGGGCAGCACCACCACCACGTGGGATGGCACCGGGGTGTGCGCAGCGCTTGGAGCCCAGAGGTCTTCCCCGGGCTCTGAGCGATGCTGTGAAGCCTTCTGCAAGATGTCCCACATCAGCTCGCTTGTCTGTCTCCACAGTGACCCTTCCTTGGTGTTAAAAACCAGTAGGCACTAAGCAGGGGAAAGTCAGAGAGCAGGACAAGTTTGCTCTCAACAGCCTGCGCTCCCAGCGCGGCTTGCACAACGTCTGAAATCCATCCCCTAAATAAATTACCCTGTATCTTTTCCATCTCGGTTTATCCCTGCTGCCTGAGACAAAGGCTTCACTGCTCCAACCTGCAGCTGCACTCTGCAGGGATATAAAAGCCACCACACCAAAGACTGCTCTGATGGCCCGGACAGCACGGGGCAGCCGTTCCTTTTGAAGCACGGGTAAGCCAACCAACGCCAGGCAAACGCGCGATGCTTATTTTCATGACACCACTCTATGCATAGAAGATCCAAGGAAGGAGCTATTTATACGTTTCACTACAAAAGGAACCAAAAAAATAAAATAAAATAAATTTGCATATGCAGGAAAAAGACTTGTAAAACACCCGAGCCACTTATTAACCAAACAGCGATGACTAATTCCTCTCTACACCCATTTCTATAAGGCTGTTGCCCAACTGTGTCTGCGACTGAAATCGACCTGCAGACAAACACTGCCGGGTCTCCTCAGGCTCTCCGGGGGAGCTTGCACAGCTTTTCCTTTCGTTACTCAGCTGGTCCCAGGCTGGCGGTGGAGGGGAGAGATTTGCCAGCTCAGGTTGTCACCCCAGGGTTACTGAATTGCTCATTCTGGAGTCTTCACTTGACATTTAATGGCCAAAAAATAATAATAATAATAAAAATAAAAAAAGAGAAATGATGTCCTGATTACCGAGCAATTAAAAAGCCAACAAGAGCATCCCGTGCCCCCTGGCTGTGCCGAGGGAGTTCCTAGCTGCTCGGGATAACCACACCGGGCTTCAGGTGAGGAAAAAACCTCCCATATATGTGCCAGTCCCTCCGTCTCCCCTAGAAGCAGGGAAAGCACCTTGGCAGGGGTAGGGAGTTGGTGTTTTGGACTATGCCTGTCTACAGGAGCCAAATTTCCACGTCAGCTGGACTCTCCATGGGCATGGAGAGCAATTCAGCCAGGTCCCCCAGGAGCTAGCCACCGAAAGGGATGAGCTGGACCAAGGCAGTGGGAGAAGGGAAGAGCCACGGGGCTGCACAAGCAGAGACAAAACCCATGCCCCATGCTGCCATGGCCACCCCACAGACCTCTGCAGCACAAAACCCCTCAGAAAGGGGCCGAACCCAGGCGGCAGAGCCACTGCCCTGCCCCGCGAACTTTATTTGCTCTGGAAATGCCTCCTGGAGTTATACAAAAATAACCTGTGGATTGGCCTGCCCCATGCTTAGGTGGTGAAGTCAGTGCAGTAAGCAAATTATCTTTCATCAGTTTGGCTGTATTTTTAAACACAAACTGCATTGCTAATTTGGGGGTGCCCCGGCCCGTAGATAAGCTGGGTGCATTTACTGGATGACCTTCCTCCAGCGCCCATCGTTTAAAATAAAATGTATTTATGCCATCAGCAGGGCTGGCCTTGCTTCTCCTCCTGGTTTGGGGGAAGAGATCATTAGGAAACCGTGCGAGGAAGGAAATGTTTTCCATTAGGAAACAAGCAAGGGGTCCTGGAGCTGAAGCTCCTGCTGAGCCCCTGCCACCAAGGGATGCAGAGAATGCTGTGGTGTGGGGCTCTCCGCTCCTGACCCCAAATCAAAGCCCTCTCCTCATCTGGATGCACCTCATGCAATGCTACTGACCTCTCAGCCCAGGCACGGCATCTCCTAAAGACCCAAGGAGAGGAGAAAAACCCCTCCTGTGCTCCTCTCCCAGGCAGAACGAGGGGCAGCACCGCATTTTGGCCACCGGACCTGAGCCCTTGCTCCAGCACCGACAGCTGCAGCCAAAACCCATCACCAGGGGGGGTTTTGCCACACTTTTTTTAAAAGGTGAGTCCCAAATAACTCAGCCCCAGAGCTGGGCCCACCGCCGCTCGGCTGGCTGTGTCAGCAGTGAGCTGGAGGGCAAAAGTTTACCAGGGGATAAAAATGAGAGTTAAATTTAAGCATCACCACCTTCTGATGGAAAAAAAGACCCACACATTCGGGCTTGTTGCTCTGTAAACACAGGGCTCTTCCTCTGGCAGCTCCGCTGTTTACTCAGTCATTGTCAAGGAGGCAGGAAATACTGAGTCAGGAACGAAAGATATACAAAAAGAAATTCATAATGCTTGGGTATCGGTGATCGGTGCTATATAAAACGCCGAGAGAGGCTGTGCTAAGTGCTTGGTGTGGCTGGCAGCGTGCTACGAAAGGTTGGAGCCTTAAAGGGATGAGTGGAAAAGGCCTGAGATGAATAAAACGGGTCCCAGGAGCTCCCGAAGACGTCTGCTCCCTCCTGGAGGGGGATGCAATTTAAATAATTCTTGCACTTTTAGTAATTTTTCCACTTTGGTCCTGGACTGGGTCGGGCTCCAGAGCAGAGCTTTGGTTTTGGGGGAATAGAGCCTGGCTTGATGAAAGACAAGAAGGAGAAAAAGAAAAGCAGAGCTCACAGCTCCCGAGCAGAGGGCAGGGCCTGGCAATAGCAGCACAGGAGGCTGAGATTTATTTCAAGTCCTGCGTGGGCTCCCAGCCCCTCTGCACCCTGATTTCTCGGCTGGCGAGCGGGAACAATTTGCTCATCTTCCTCTGCAGAGCGCTCTGGGGCGTGTGACTGAGACATGCAAATTGTAGCAATTATTATTGCTCCAACAAAGGCGCTATTGACATTTAAAGCAGATAAACCCTTCAAATTACAGATGACACTCTGTACCCAGCCTTGCAAAGGTCTGGGCTTCACCCAGCCGTCAGGCATTTCACTCCCACGGGCTTTCATCGCGGCGTTTCCTCGAGCTGGATCGAGCAGGCACCCATTCCTCAGGTTTTTGGGGTACCCCTCCAGATAATCACAGACTGCAGCCAACACCAGCAGAGGGTGCTTCCCATCTGCATTCCCCAAACAACCCCACCACCCCAAAATGAGGGGCTGGGGGGTCACTGGAAACCCGTGCCCCCTGTCCCTCCACCACCCCTCCTCCAGGTCCCAAACCCGGGACCACCTGCCTGGTGTGCGTGTCTCACGGCGGCCTCAGTGAGGCTCGCAGCTCCTCGGTTAATTATTAATTTGGTCAATTTTTACAGCACCCGAGGGGGAGCCTAATAATGGCTCTGCAAACAGAAGGGCATTGCTGTTGATGTGGTAGTTGCTGGAGATCCTGGAGCACCGTCTGGGTGGATGCTCTGGGGGGTGAAGCAGCCCTGTCTGGCCACGAGGAAGAGCAAACAGCATTCAGCAGCTGTCCTGGTGTAAGAATCTCCCCTGATGAGCCTCTGGAGGCTGCCCACATACATCCCTTACCCTCTCCTTTCCTCTCGTGGAGGGAGAAGGACCAGCACTGAGGTGCAGACGCCGTGTCCCAAGGGTGAATTTGAATGGCACAGCATCCCATTTTGGCTACAAGGCATCATCCTCATGCCTCGTTACTGCAGGAGCATTTCTTCACCCACTTTCCAGGTGGGATAACGCCAAGAACACAAACACCATGAAGATAGATAGAGGTGGGGGCATGATTGCTTCACCAGAGGGTGTTGGCCAACACCAGAGCTGTCTTCCTCCTTACTTAATTTTCTCTGTCGCCTGCCTACCCAGCAGGGACAGCTCATCTGCAAGAGGAAGGTCTCGGTGATGCTGAGACACACAAATTAATTGACTTAATTAATCAGAGCAGCCGGGGCACCCATTTGGCTTGACCCTGCAGGACACCCCATGGCAATGCCCGAGGGAGGCAGCTCCCTTGGGATATTTTGGAAGAGCCTTGCCATGGGTTTCAGTCCCTACTGCTCCATGGAAAAAAAAAGGACATAATTCTGCCCAGCAAGCATAGAGGGACTGCTTTGAATTGCTGTTGTGGATGGTTTGATGGGACTCCTCCAGCCCTCCTCCGTGCCGGGGTGAGGTTGGAGCCCCAGCACCATCCCTGGCATCTGCTCAGGGGCCACTTCTGTGCCTGAAAAAAAACCCATGTGGGTGTTTTTTTTTTTTTTTTTGGGTCCAGCTGGAGCTTGCCAGCAGGCTGCATCCTTATTTTAAGCTCCACGCGTGCGATGTGGCCCCTTGATA